GCAATGAATTGCAGTACTGACTCGCACTAGCATGAACTTGCAGTGTATTTTCACTAGCACTAGAATCGCCCATAAAATTCATGAGCTCATCCTAACTTGCGTTTCGACCGGTACTTTGACTGCGGTCCCACCTGGTTCGAGAATCGAACTCAATCACCACGTTTCACACGACATCGCCGACGCCACAGAGGGACGTGAACTCGTGCGTCGTCGTGCTAAGGTCACATGTGATGGGGTACCCCAAACTGCTGTCAACGCTAACATGAATCCAGGTATTGGAAGCGGGGATGTTTAGGAACTTATGAGACAGTGACTTCAAAGGGCAAATGTCCTCAGACAGTAATGTCAGTTTATTGCGTCCAGGACATGTCGAGTTTTGGTGGGGGTGGCGTAATGACCTCATTAATTTGCCTGTTTTCCCATATAAGGACCCTCTAGCGTTGATAACGGGCAGACAGCCCAGAGAAATTTGCTGTATCAACTTCACGCCGCTCTGCAGCTCTACTTTTTCAATTAAACTTGTCATACTTCATCGGACTTGGTCTCTGTACTTGAAACCTCGCTCACCACCACGCTCCTCCACGGAACTTAGTTTCCCTGCGAACTCAAAATTTTTGCACCCTGTAATGATAGCATTTGTAATTGCCTGCAATCACTGCTAGTAGCACGACACCTGCAGCAAAAGGCATCACAGGTCCCTCTCATCTCAACTTTCACGCTAAAAGGCGAAGCGACTCCTCAACGACGGAAGCTGAAAAACTAGATGCCACCAATACAGCAGCGGTAAAATTAGTTGTTTTCTGTTGTTGTCATAATCACTCCAATTAAACTAGTAAGCCACAATAACTAAAATCATAAATTGTAGTAGGTTAGTAAGTTAATTCGTTTACATGCTTACTATCATCAGCATTTTAAAATTTAATTAAATGTGTGGTAAAATTAATTCTTTATGCATTGTATTCTGTATATTGTAATTCTGTATTTTATTTAACAAGCAATCCCGCATCCAAAGAACGTTACGGCAGATTACAATGCGTAGGAAAAATATAATAAAAGGATTTTATAAACGTTTCGTATCGTTTCTTCAAGTTTATAGAATATTTTCTCATATATATTGTAGTGGCATATAGCCTCCACAATATCGGATATATCTTTAATATAAATAATATATAATATATAAATAATCTTTAATATAAAATATTTTTATAATTTTACATAAATCCATCTGCCTAGTAAGCTAAAGAATTTTTACGTCACTTATCTGTGCTTTTTCTCCCTTCTCGCTTCCTTGATTAACCTCCAGGTTTTTCTGAGGCATGTTAGACCCATGGTCAGTCAGGGGCTGAGCCAGGATTATCAACAAATCTTTTCTAGTGACGAACTTTCATGCCCGGAACGAGGTCAGACCTTCAAGGACCGGCTCACTCCTTGAGAATACAAAGACGGTTTGCGGAACAGACACTTCATACTTGCGGCGCCATTAAATTAATAGGTGTAACCCAAACATTTCCGGACACTGGCTCTGATGCTGTTGTGCAGTTACTGTTAAATGTTCATTTTGAAGGGGTGGGATCGTTCCGGAAATTTCCTTTCAGAATACGAGGCTGCTATTAGGCCAAATTGAAATTAGACGCCAAAAGTTTCGGCCAATCATGACGTTGGGTTCTAAAACAAAGGAGAAGATATTTTCGATCATGGCAAGAGGAGAGACTTGGTTAGAGAGAGAGAGAGGCGCACCACCGGAGGCAGCAGTCACGTCCGAGTGAGTACGAAATCTTAGTGCTATTAGATTACATTAAGAGATATTGCACTTTTTCTTGTTTTTTCACAAATTTTGTTGATTTTTGCCAAGAATCGTTGTGGGTATTCTCAGGTCGACCGTCGCCACCGTAAGGAACTTTGTAAATTTTTATGAGAGCAACCAACGCACTTTCGTGAAATGTTCCTTTATCGAAATTGTTATTGAACAATACGAGAGCTGTCGAAACCTGTCACACTTAATAAACTGACAAGTGTGAAATATCAAGAGAAAGATTTATCTGTCGTTTCGAGTTTGTGGTCTCACACACGGTCACGAAACTAGGTCATCTCGCCGGGGCTGCCTTCGTTTGGGGAACGTCTGGCGCGCCCTCCTCCATGGCCAGGCCAACCTATTAACAGCTGGCTCCTGGAACCGCGAACACCGCCCTTTGGAAGAAGACATAGCCGAGAAGGGAGCAGAGAGTGGTGGAGCTCTTAAAGCTCCGTAATGAAATAAGAAATAACTTTTGGAATTTTTTTCTCGTAAATGCGAAGCCGCACTCTGTCTTGTTTTTGCGAACTTAGATTTTAAGCTTATGCACAGATTTTTTTATTTTGTCATTCAATGAGCTGAAGTAAATTCTTCTTTTCTAACCAATTTTCTTGTTCATTACTCCTATTTGCAGACCATTTATTCTATCAATACTAGTTCAAAAACGCATTATATAGGTCGAGCTCTGCTCACGTTCCTGCTTTATAATCAAAGATTTTATTAGCATACCCTTTCAATATTTTCTTTCTCATGGGTATCGACATACGTCTGTCGGCATCGACTTACCTTGTTGCATGGAGATGGGCAGTCCGTAGAGATCGGAGATTTCTGAAGGTTCTGTTTGATTAAATAATTTCTTGATTGAGTGTAATTAACTACAAGTTATCAGCCATGTTATAAATAATGCATAACATAATTATGTACATTAATAATTCTTAATAAGCTGGTTTATGTTAACTATTATTTCCGTTATTGTCCTTCCTAAACATTTCAGTTTAAATGTTTATGATTTAATTCCTGTCATCAGGCGAATTCGAAAATTTCTCACCTGCATCACAGATGATGTCAATGTTCAATGTCCACGACGTTTTTTTTTTCGGTGGCAAGACTGATGTGATGTCGTCCTACTTAACGCGAAATCTGCAAAAATATTACCGGTTCGTCGATTATTTATCCTAAAACTGACACGCGTACGCGAAACTTCCCTCTTTTGTCTCGGGCGAACGCATTTCCTTGACACTTCCTACTATTCCAAAATAAACGCTCAAAGAATGGAAAAGTTATGATTTATTGCCAATTGTAGTGGCAATGGCATCGACAAGTCCACTTTTGAAATCAACTCACAGTTCTCTGACATTGACATTATTCAAATTCTTTCTATTACATCTTGAGAAATGATGATAATATTATGCTAGCTATTTCCCCTCCTACGTTTGACGTAATGTCTAACCTAACGTATTGCCATTTCACCCACCACGCGATCATCTAATGATAACCGCAATGCATCATATTTCTTTTGTTGGCTCGGTGGTCAGCAGTCCAAAGCTGGGTTTCCAAATTGGGCGGAAATCTGCTTTTGGGGCTGGAAAACCGCTCTCTCTCCTGGCACAAAAATTGATTTCACGAAATACCGCCTGACAGGCAGAAATGCATCAAAACGTGCGGTTTTGTGCAAGTTTACAGATTACCGCAAACGTTTCCAAAAACAACGGCAATATTTAGTTTTGCAATTAAATATTTAGTTTTGCAAGTTTTTATTTATTTTTTACATTATACGTGGTTTTTCATTAATCCTTTTTTAATTACCTTACATTTGACAATTAGTTTTACTTAGAGAATTGTTAGCTTTTAGACCTCTAGCGGGATATTTAAGAGGAGCAAGGTGAGTAAAGTGGAAATGTGGGGAAATAGTTTTATCTCTTAAAGTATTCCTCCCATCTGCTGTAGTCAGGAAAATAGTCAGAAGTAATTTTTAGTTATTAATATATAACTCATTATTACAAAAATTTTAAGTTTTTACATGAATATTATTATTAATGACAATGTTAACAAACAAACTCAAATAAAACTAGTGAAACATTTCAAAAGGTCATTATCTCCAAAAAACATGTTCTAATACTATTTTATAGATGCAAATTCAAATTTCCCGGAATTGGGCGTAATACATCCATCTAACGGCGAATGTTTGTACGATGCATCTGGCAACTCTGATCAAAAGGGCAGGTTCCCTTTCTTCAACATATAATTACGCCTCTCTGACATATTCTGTTTATTACGAGTACATGGGGCTTTGCTTCCCCCTTCCGATAATAATAATAACAATAATAATATTAACAATAACAATAATAATGATAAAAATAATAGTTAATAATAGTTAATAATAATTAATAATAACAATAATTAATAATGATGATGATGATGATGATGATTAAGGTTTAAGAGCGCTTCGACAGCTAGGGTCATTGGCTCCGTATCAAATTACTTTAAGGTCGGTACGTACTGTAGCAATGACAGACTAAAACTTTTAAATGCGAAGTAGAATGTGATTAAAACTGAAAATGAAAGTGTTCAGTTATAAAAAAGGGTTTGGTAATGAAATGAGCACAATCAATTCAAATTAATACGAATATTTAGAACTCAGTTATTACGAACTTATCACTCAAAACGTCCCTTTATTTGCAGTTAACGAAATAAATGTTCTTGTGCTGGCAAAACTGTCATACTGAGAAAAGCAACTTTAAAGAATTGGCACAACCAACTCAAACTAATACTAGTATTTAATACTCATTTATTACTAATTGATTACTCAAAAATGAAATTTATTACTCTTTCCGTTTATGAAATACATTTTGTTAAAAATGGCATAGTTATACAACTATGCAGGATATTCCAGTATTAAATTTAACAGTATGACAAAAACCTATTATATAATTAAATACACATTCGATACTAATTTCTTACTCCAAAGAGAACTTTATTAACATTTCCATGTACTAAATAAATATTGCTAAAACTGAATCATCGTTATCCAACCATGCCAGAACTTCGAATACGATAAAAGAAAGAACCAACGAACATATTCACGACCGAGCTGTCTCAAATACGAAGTATTGGCTGACATCGATAATGTCAGTCACTGCTAGTTGCGGTCGAGTATTGTACACAATTGACAATTATTCTTAAGCCTTCTGTACACTATTTGGAGTCAAAATTTAATCAAAATATTTTGTGCTGTTTATGAGAATTTATTTTTAAATTTACAGTTGGCAATATTTCACCCAAAATTTGGCAAAAGCTATTCATATTTTTGAAAAATTTTACATTACATTACAATTCAAAATCTGTGTTTAAGGTACAGATTTCATTACGGAAGGAAATTCTATTTTTAATGCTTTAGTTGTAGGAAGATGTGGAAAAAATTTAAAACTTTTGCAAGTTTCGAAAAATCAGGGGTTTTACAAATATTCACATTCAGAACATTCTGTTAAACATTTTTTACACTATCCGAAAATACAATTTAATCGAAAACGTTTAAGCCATTTTTTTAATTTTAAAAACTTTCCATCGGCTTCATGTAATGTACACCCAAAATCAAAATTTTTGTTTCTAATTCAAGGAGCTGCAAGATCAGTTAGATCGATTGAGGAATATCCATTTCGGAACAAATTGGCTGGACGGCTTAAGCACCAGCGTTGTTCATAGACAGACGTGTTGTTGTTAATAGATTTTTGGGTGTCAGGGACCATAAAAAACACGGATTCTGACTTCACCTCATGTCACAGGATTTTATTACTAGATTTAGCAACTGGAATTATTCGCTTTTTCGTTACCAGAGCTCGGCAAAACGAGATTTTATGTAGGAAATTTGCTGCTTTTCCCCAGCAGCATTACATAACTTTCTTTCTACTGCGTAATCGGTAGGGAGAAAGTAAAACAGATTGACGGTAAAACGTGACTTTCTATCTATGTGTAGTCAACCCTAATGTTGCGGCCCCTTGAATTTGAAACTGTCAAACCGTTTGTATTAATTTTAGAGTCACTTTAAATGAAACCTCTGGAAAATTTTGAAAATGAAATAAAAATTGGTAAAGTTTTTTGATTAGACTTCATAATCAGTGTGACGGACGCTTAAGACGTGTGCGAGTTTAATTTTCGATAAAATCTCTAACTTTTCGAAAATCGCAAACGTTCCTCGAGGAAGCGGCTGAACTCGACCTAACTATCGCTAGTGTCGAAAATTCTACCACAGTAGCGACTTGTTGAAAACGTAATGTCCGTATCATGATATTTCATGATTATATCATATCGTTTTGACGGTTCCTCCTACACTGAAAAAAACTCTTAAGGCCCATTTGTATAACTCTTTTTTAAGACACATTTTTAATGTAATCAGGGGTCGTTTACGTCATCGGTTTATTATCGTGTTCTATATGCAACACCTTCCTCGCCGGAAGTAATTATCTACCGAACTGAAAACCAACATAGAAGAAGTGAAATATGGCGAACAGAGAAGCAGTATATATACGCAAGGGCTAGGTTTGAAACAGTCTGATTCTCATATATTGGATACGATGGAGAAATTTTTAGCAATTTTTTTTCTCTGTCTCAGTGCTGTATGTCTTGCAACGGAACCACCTGTAAGTCCACTGTCTATAAATATCTTTGTCCATAAAAAAATAATTATATCTGTGTTTATATTTGAGAACATCGCGTGTAGTTTTGGGTTTATTTCGTTATTTCCGACTACTTTAAATTTTGAAATATATTGTGTAGAATTATATTTCAATTAGGATGTTACTTACTCTACAGAATTGTAGTACTTTTGTTGATAATCCTCAAATGTTAGATTAAGATCTATATTAGTAAATGTTGAACAGGCTTTTGTACCAATTAAATTGTTAAAAAGTAACTGCGATCCGGAATATTATAATGCAAAGATTAGGCGATTGAAAAGAAAACCCAGAGAAGCATTTAACAACAGACACCGTAGTGAAAATCTTATGACCTTATTTCGAAATTATTCAAAAGCATTAAGGAAGGAAAAGAAAATGGCAGACGAACGTCTTTTGAAACATATTCTTTTATGTGGAGGGCAGTAATAATTGGTCCGTATTTTTTAAATACGTTCGAAGAAGGAAAGGAAGTAAAGAAGGAATTCCAGTTGTTCATGTTAATAATTCGCTAATAATGGCCGATAGGGACAAACACAGGGAATTTAACGCATATTTCATCTCGGTTATCAAGCAGAAACCTAATAGTATTCAAATACCAACGCTGGCAGACAGAGTTTTCATATTGATGTAAATATTTTGCGGAAAATAATAAAATTAATGAAGAGAGGAAAATCACGAGGTCCAAATTGTATTTCCACGGACATCATTAAATTAGGTGGAGAGGCTATTCTCCCATATTTAACGTATCAATAACAACGCTTGCGTACCGTAAGTTTGGAAGCTGGCTATCGTAGTACCCATTTTTAAAAGTGGCGACAAGACAATACAGTCGTATACAAACTTATGGAACATCTAATTTCAAGCTATATCAGGAAACAATGGGAGGACAGGGAGTGGCTTAATCAGAGTCAGCACGGTTTCAGAAATGGTTTCTCATGAGAAAATCAGCTAGTCTCAGTTCTACAGGACCTAGCCGTCGTATTTGATAAAGGAAAAAGGTTCGATGCGATAGTAATAGATTTTTCCAAAGCCTTTTATGTTGTTCCACACGATCGTCTTATAAAGAAATTAATAGATACAGGTATAGACACTAGAGTGGTAGCTTGAATAAACGAGCTACTTTGGAACAGGAAACAGAAAGTTCGAATCTGTAGTTACTAATCCCCGAGGGTCGTCACGTCAGGAATTTCACAAGGAAGTGTTATCGGACCACTTATGTTTCTGGCCTTCATGAATGAATTGACGACCAATTTAGCTTCAAATGTAAAACTCTTTACAGATGACAGCGTAAATTTTAGGATTATCAACTCGAAGAAGGACGAGGATATTTTGCAGTGAGACTTAGACAAATTACACATCTGGGCAGAAACAAACGGCATCACGTTTTTTGGTAGGGGTCGAAGTTACAAGAAATCTGCCGTACACACTGAACAATAATGTTTACTCGGAGTTCACGTCTTGCAAATACCTAGGAATACGCTAGACAGTAAATTGAGCTGGGAAAATCAAGTCAATTTCGTTGTAGGGAAAGCGTGGAAATCTTTACATTTTGTTATGCTGGAACAGAGTACAATGAGAGCCAAAGAACTAGCATATATGTCATTAGTGCGAAACATATTAGAATATGGTGCGATATGTTGGGACACATACAGAATTTTGCAGCAAAGGAATCTAGAAAATGTCCAGTGTAGAGCATCAAAATTTACTTTCAGGGATACCAAGAATAAAGGGGTATAGGAGTCACTCGAAAGAAGGAGATTAAAGTCACGTATCTATGCTATGTATAAGGCGTAAACAGGCTTTCGAACGTGGAAAGAAATTCAAAGTCGATTAGGGAAACCTACATATTTCGGCAGAGCGGATCACATGCACAAAATTCAGACAAGAATTCAGAAAACAGAAGTTGAGAAATATTCATTCGCGAATCGAACTATTAAAGACTGGAACGGTTTGTCTGTGAGAATCTTCGATCCCTTCCCACAAAGCGTGAGCAAATTTAACAATAAACTAGCTTCCTGAATGTTGATATGTGTGTTATAAATATATTTAATATTATTCAGTGTTAGTAACTATGTCGTCTATGTAATTAAGTATTATTTTTATCATTATTATCATTATCATTATTTATTATTGTTATTATTATTATAAATAATTATGTGCAGTGCAGTGGCGTTGTGAAACTGAGGGAAACAATGGGGTAAGAAAGACATTACAGTTCAGTGATTCGCAGTGCGGTGTAGTGAAATGTAGAGAAGTGTGGTGAAGTGAAGTTCTTTAAAAGATTCCACGGTGAAATGTTCACGTTAATTTGTAAAGTTTGTAGATTTTATAAATTTGTTAAATTCTGTAAGGTCTAAATTCTTCCGACCTTACCCCCTTTTTAATTGTCGATTCTTCCCTCCGCAACATAACCTTCAGTCAGAAAGCACAAATAGCCATTACGTAGAAAATTACACGTCTGCTTGGATAACGCTCATTACCAATTAATACCTTTACGTTCACCTGTACAGGGTGGTGTTTCCTCAAGTGAACGCACGCAGCTCTCATCCTGCTCCATAGCGTAGCGCTTCAAAATTTTGGCGTTGCCCTTTATCAGGCGCAGAGCGACACCCAGTTGGTGTCGCAACTCAAGAGAGTGACTTGCGACTTTGTAAAATTGTAAAAGCGATGCCCTGATTGGCATCTCGCCGTGAAACATCACACTGTACGGTTGAACGTACTTTCCTCCATAAAAAAACGAAATAGGACATCCCGTCAATATTCAGAGATATCTTAAGACATTCACGTGACAATATAACAAATAATGGATGAAGAGGGAGGTATTACCTGGCACAAAGGTGGGAGAAGGATCTCTGGTTAAAAGGTGCTTGTCATTTATAAAATTACAATGACCACTTCTTATTCTCGAGATTTTCACCCTCTTAGAGAAGTTTTTTCACGTTTTCAAGGAGTAAACATTTAAACTTTTTTTCAGATTGCTAGAGTTCAATGTTCTCCAGTGAATGTTTCATATATTTTGCATTCCAATGTGTCCATAGATCCGTTCATACGTGCAAAGTTGCTAAACCTCTGCCTATTGGAGTTGTAATTTCTTCCACAAGGCTTATTTTGTCACTTTCAGTATTTTTTTGTAATTTGGAAGCCAGACTATTATTACGATTCATACTTTATCAGTAACATATACTACAATCTAATAAATTTATCTTCGAAAACGAACTTGTTATTAAAATTCATTTAACAGCAAATTGGCAAAATGTATATAACCACAGCAAACTAGTTAAATGATATAACATTCATTTAGACTTGTAGTTTAGAACCAACCAAATAACTGCAATTATGATTCTGCAAATTGCGAACGTTTCATTCAAAAGAATATCTTATAATTTTTAAATTTTGTGAACGATCAATCGTACCAATATAATTAAATGAAAGTTCACTATTCTGTATGTTAGTAACTCGTTTCCATGTAATCATGTATTAACCTGTACAACATACTCCATATTTACTCTTAATTACTTTAAGCGAAACGGTTATCACGTCTTCTGGTTTGAATAAAGAGTATGGTCAAATGAACATTTTTATTTCTGTTTAAAGTGTCCAAGTAACTTACTTCGTAACCGACCATTCAAATTATTTTTTTCGTTTGTTTGTTTCAGGAAATAAAAATTAAAAAATGCACTGAAAAATATCAAAACGCTGCCTGTAAGTATTTTAGCTAAAGACTGTAATCCTTGGCAATTTAAGACGTTTTGAAGATTATTTTTCTTTTCTCCCTTTTGTAGGAATCTAAAATAATTGTATGAGAGCAAGATTTGAATCTCAGTTGTTGTTTGTTTTCGAATTTAGCAATTTGGCGGTCTACCATACTATTTTTCGCTTCATAAAATTATTGACTGGATTCTAAATTACTTCAAAGATTTTTTTATTCTCGAGCATTGAAGGGCTAAAAAGGTTTGGAAAATTGGGTAGATATTCCTCTAAATTCTAAAATTCACTTTCAAATTACCCATACTTTTTCCTCTCATTGTTTCTTTCACTTCTATGAATACTGACTCATAACTTTTTTAATGTGATAAATAGTCCCTTTACATTGAAACATTTAAATTTTCAATAGCAAACTTGTTGAATATTAATGTAAATATTTTATCTAGTAATATTAAAAAAATTACATTTGAGACGGAATTAATTGTGTAACTTACTTTTTAAAATTCAGGTGTCAATTGTCATTCATAATTTCTCAATATCAAAGGACACAATACAGAAAAAGTAACTATAATTTTTGTTGTTTTGTAAAAATGTTAAATAAACAAACTTTATTCGACTATGAACCCTAAATTTCAGTTTACATTTCCTGGGCAAGTTTTCTTTACATATGGTAACTGACGTTTCACGTTACTTATGAACGTGCTATGATCGTATTAGCAAACTGAAACGTGCTGCGCATAAGTATTGAAACATAAAGTATTAATGTATTTTCATTGTCAATTTTCTGGAATCTAATACTAGGATGAAGCAAAGAGAAATCGTCGAAAGTCAATAATTTTACTTTCCCAAAATGTCAAAAATTATCTTCTACGCCAGAATGTCTCAATTGTGAACAAATTACAAGAAAAGGGGAAGGCAATACGTTTATATTGTAATCACGTACTAGGTAATATTTCTTTAGTGTCGAATTTTCTTCTTTTTTGCCCCACTCCCCGGTTGCCTTATTCCGGCACCTCCAGCTCCAACCAGGGCTACTATTGCTTTCAAGGCGATAATTCTCACACGCACACGCAAATATGGTGTAATCGAACTGGTATAACCAAGTTGGCTGTTTCAAACCCGATCGAGGCCATGGATTTTTAAGGGCGTCTTCCTTCGGAGGGGAAGTAAAGCTTGCTGTCCCATGTTAGTTGATTTACTTGCATGTAAAAGATCCTCAAGGCTAAATGACGCCTCTGAGCTAAATTGAAAATCGCCTTTTTCTCGCCCAAGAAATACCTTTTCTCTGCGAAATTTGCGTGGTCAGACGGAAGAGCGGGCCTGATGGCCCGAGTCTTGCCACGTAATGCAATTCAATTCACCCGTTGCTGCCCTCATTTGCACTGGAGTGACACTCGCGCGCCTCCCGAGGACAGTGAAAGTGCAACATGCTGTGCAGGCCTGCTTTACCTTAAAATCTATCAACCTCTCCCTTAATTAGGAACACTAAATATTTCTGTAAACAACATATCAAAAAATATTTCAGACAAAATATTTACACATTGAAACAATTCATATTACTGTTACGTTTTTTGTGTAATATTTATATTCGAAAAATTGCGTTACACTATATCAAAAAACACGAATATTTGTTTCACATTTGTTTTATTTTCTAGGACTAGTTTAATTGAAGAAGGTAGTATTTCAAAATATCATTGAAAAAAAAAAATTTGTTAGGAATTTTTTTGTGCGAAATTAGAAGTTCATTTTTTGAAAAATTTTTTGGGATACAGAATTTTCTAATAACATTAAATATTTCTGTTCATTTAGTATTAAAACCTGACATAAAGCTATAAAAGTATCTTTTAACATTGAATATCAGATTCAGTACAGCAAAATTTAGTCTTATTCACATCTTTGATCTCATGTCACACACGTTGAATATTAGCATCATGTTTAAAATTGATTTCAACATTTTGTGTGAAATAAATAATGATTTTCTAATTTTGTCACTTTGTTGCAGTTGATGATGTGAAAAAGGAGCCTAATCATGACATGAAGGTAATTTCGTTTAATATTAATAACTCATGTATTTGAAGCCCCATTTTTTTAAATGTGCTTAATTGTAAAAATCTTATTTAGATTTAGATTTATATAGTCCAAAAAAAAAAACAACAGTAAAAACTGTATTGACGTAGGGGGGGGGAGAATATCAGCGCACGTTTTCTTGAGTTCCAGAATATCTTCCCGTCATTTTAAACTATAAATAGTTGAAAGGTGAGTAAAAGTTTAACATAAATAAATAAATAAATAAATAAATAAATAAATAAATAATAAATAAATAAATAATAAATAATAAATAAATAAATAAATAATAATAAATAAATAAAATAATACAATAAATAAATAAATAATAAATAAATAAATAAATAGAATAAATAAATAAATAAATAAATAAATAAAATAAATAAATAAATAACTAATAAATAAATAAATAAATAAATAAATAAATTAAATAAATACAATTATAATAAATTAATAAATAAATTAATAAATAAATTAATAAATAAATTAATTAAATAATTAATAAAATAAATAAATAAATAAATAAATATATTAAAAATAAATTTCTAAAATCGTAATATTATTAATATTTGAAAAATAGGTATCGCTTGGTAATCTCATTGATGAAGACAATAAAAAAATAGTATAAATGCTCACTAACAAGAAAAAGCACTACAAAGATAAACTTATCAGAGACGCTTCTTGGTTGTGCGTAATGCAAATTATTTCTTACAGAAAAATAAAATTAATTCAAATTCAGAAGAAAAATCCACTGATATGTACTTTTCTTATTTGTATTCATTTTTAAGTTTTTGTATTATTATTTTATCGTTATCTCCATATTTCAAATTTTCCGTCTATCACGAACAAGATTTTAAACTCGTTTGTTAATAACATTTAAAATTAAGATTTTCGTTGAAAAGAAGACGTTTTAAAGTAATAATTTGTTGTCTTTATCAATATTAGTTAAATGTTATAAATTTTTGGTTTCTATAAAGCATTTTTTATCAAAGCTAAATTTTTAAGTATTTTATAGCAACAAAATAATTCAAAACTAAAACGTCAATATATGTGTCTTATTTTCTTTTATAGTTCATATTTCACAAGTCAATGATATTCAAATTATATCATTTAATGTTTTGAAATGAATGATAATCGTTTATAATAAATACTACTAGATATTTTATAGAACTATTTTTGATGCATTCTTATTGGATATAACAAGAAGGCCTTTATTTCTTGCTTCAGTTGAATAACAGTCTTATTTGTACTTCATAGGTCGTGGCTTCAAATCCACTATGATATTTATATGGTTCGTATTATATTTTATTTTTTCAGTGCATTGTTCAGTGTGTGATGGAATCTCAGGAAATGGTAAGCATTATTTTTCAAATTTTTAAATGTTTCTTTGATTCTTTAAAACTAGTTAAATAGTAGCTAAAATATCAGTAGAAAACTAATATATAGTTGAAGTAATTGTACTAATTAAATACATCCTACAACGAAAATGCATCACCTTAACGCGGTACTCTTTTCCATTCCAAAGGTTACTTCTAGCATCATGTCATATTTACGTAATTCAACAGACACACTCATCACAGGAACACCAACTTTACTCTCGTTAAATGTCACATTCGAATGTCATTCCGATACTCGGACAATAACAAGATGGAAGAACAGACGAACCTCGGAATAAATTGCAATTCAATTGCAGAGCCTTCTTTAAATATATAATAGAAACATATTAAAAAATATGAAATATGTATATATAATTGAAATATGAGTCATTTTCTACCAGTTTGTATCAAAATTTTTCTCTATTTTTGAGTTTTTGCCCATCTTTTCTGCGGGATTGGCTGCACAGTTATTTTTGTGTACAATATACGCAATGCTTCTCCAAACGCACCATTGATATTACGATGACAGCTACTCAAATAAGACTGCTAATGGGTGTAATGAGACGTTAGATTACAACAGAACGATGAATTTCCATGAATCGGTTACGTATGGCAGCGGTTTCAATTTTTATTCCAAACATCTCATAAGCATTGAAAGATGAAGCAAATATGCACTGGAGAATATGAAAAATTAGAATATTAATTTATTTAATGGAGCTATGTAGTAAGTATCCTAAATCCTTCTACCATCGAGGCTTCGAACCCTAGTTCCTCTCGGTCCGAGGCACTGCTGTAACAATATTTTTATAAATTTAATTCTTTATTTAACATCAGAAACAGATTAAAACTACATGTGTCGTGGTATAGGGAAAAGTGTGTTCTGTGCGCGTGTATTTCTTCTTCTTCTTCTTCTTCTTCTTCTTCTTCTTCTTCTTCTTTTTACATTCTGCGATCTGTACGCATATACAATTAATGCTCTGAGCCCCCTAAGCCGGAAGTTTCCACAAAAAAGCATGCAACTTACACAATGTATATTAATTAGAAATCCTTGGTCTTTATTTATTTGTGTGTTATGATTTTTTATTAACCAGATGTCTGGGAACAATATCGATCATGACGGTATAATGAAGAGCTTGAATGGAGGACCTGGTTGGAAGAATGAGGAAGAATTCAAGAAAGACGCCGAGAAATGCAAAAACATAGAGCGTAAGTTATTTATGACACAAGCTGATTACTCACTCAAGTCTAGGTCAGTGTTTCCCAATCGAGTGGATATCAACCCTACTAGGGTCGATAAAAATGTAAGGGGGGTCAATGATAACGACGCGGTGTCACCCGGAAAGCCAAGAAGTCCCGGGCTTGATTCCCGGCCGGGTCAAAATAATAACTTTGCACTTTCCATACAAATGTCCCAGTATCTATTGTTGTGTACGATGAGAATGCTCACCCTAAGGTTATGGAAATCAGAGCATAAGGTGAAGGAATGTCTTTGTGCTAACCACACGAACCCATAATCCCATGGCCGAGAGCCAGGCCACCGCTAGTCAGTCAAGGCCCTTAGCAGGCTCTCGAGCCATAGCGCAAAGTAGTACGTTAAAGAAGAAGTCAAGGGTGTCGATGAAACACATCTTTCTTTTAAAAGGGGTCGATGCAAGAAAAAATGTAGGAAATTCCTGGTCTAGGTACTTACGTACTACTCCTTATACATTCTGGAAATAGTATTACCGGCCATGAAATATTTGAAAATGGAAACTTCTAACGTACTAACACGACTAAAAAATTAGCTTTTGCAAGTTTTGAAAATGCAAATATTACCTAAAAATAGGATCTGTGAAAATTTAATAAAAAATTGTCTCCATTCGAATCAAAAATTTCTCAAAATCTAACTTTTTGAGCATTTCAAAACCATTACTATATCTACTACATCAATGAGAAAATAAAAACCAAACGGTAGTAAATGTGTAAGGTAAGAATGTGTTTCATTTGAGTAGCATACGTGTAAAATAATTACTCCTGAATAGGTTAGAATAGAATAGACTGAAACTAAACTCATGGGTTTGAGTTAGACTGAGTAAAGGTTAAAATAAGTTAATTTTGTAACTATTATAACGTACATAAAAATACAAAAGTTACGATAGTTAATATATTATTGAAATCCAAAACATTTTCGGTTGCAATCTGCTATCATAACGCACGGGTCTCTCGAATCCTATTAAGTTACTATGTATCCACAGATCTCTAGATGATAAGTGTCGTTGATCTTGGCATATTTTGAATTTCAAGTTTGATACCATCCAATGGGTCAAATTATTAATTTTCATTTTTTGGCTAAATCAATTTTGCCCTTTTCAACAATTTTGCCTTTTTCCCCACACTTTGTCCTTTTTAAATAAATTACCATTTTTTCCCTTCAAGAACCCTTGGAAGACCCATTCTTCTATATTTAAATATCTTAGTGCTCATGACCCACGACCTCTTTCTTGACACAGTTTACAAGTATGGCCCCCGTAATTTCGTAATCTGAACGCATCTTGGGTTGTTGTTGAGTTATTAAAAGATGTTCTTGTTTACATTTTGGTAGCTTTGCAATTTTCCGTTGAAACACATGATCTAGAATATGGGGCAGGAATGTTCAAGTAGAGAAGCGGCAAGTACAGACTTTTTTCCAAATGGTGTTTACCGAAAATGATATTTAGTTATAAATGGTTTCTTTTGTCTGAGACCATAATTCAGAATTTATTAAAATCTATAAGATACAGTCTTTATAGTAGTGACAATAAATATACTTTTATATAAACCTTTTTCATTAACAACATTTTTAAAAAAATGTTTGTCTAAAAAGACTGAAAAACGTAAGGGAAGAGTTATATTTAAAAAAATACTAATTACGTATTATTGGACTCAAAAACGTATAAAAATAATATACTAGATCTGTATCTTTAAGAGTGCAAAATATCATAGTATTCTCGTTAACTATTTTCTTGAAGATGTACATTAATAATAGGAAATTTAACATGAGCGGTCGGTATATATGCCCCGTGAAACGCTAACAATTCAAAACAAATCATACGAATGGTATTCATTTTTAAAGAACATTTCTGGTATGAAAAAGAAGGTCACTTCTATTCTCTAAGATACAGAATTTCAAAATTAATCATTTAGTCTTTTTCTTGCTATTTACCAGCGTCATCCGACAAATGTGAAACAGCATTCAAGTATCAGAAGTGTCTTATGGCTACCATTGCCAAGGTAAGTTTCTGTAACATTATCATTTTTTATTAACTTTACTTTTTAGTGAATTTGTGTTACTTTAATTTTCAATTTCAAAAATGTTTCATTTATGAAAAAATAGATTTAACTCAGTTTCACAAATAAATTTTATTTCAAACTGAAAAGGTAAACCCTTAAGATAGGTAGTAATAGTTATTAATTTATTATCAATTAATATAACGTGGTAATTAGGCAACAGAATGTTTTACTACACTCAAAGGTTTTCTGAGCACTTATGTATACTTCCAGTGGCGGGAATAGAAAAAACAATAGGAGAATATTAAAAGGTCGATTTCATTGTGCACCATATTGTATTTATAAGACTCACCTTTGCTTTTACCGTAAAAATTATCTCGAAGGAAAGTGTAGAAATTAGCGGTGCTACAACAGCAAATACTTTCTAGCATTATCTCTACCTCTTGCAATTTTCGAAAATTCTGGGAGTTAAACGAAAATGAAACTTAGGCAATATTTTAAGCGTCCTCTGTTCTATAAGTGGAAAAATTGAAGAAAATATTCAAAGCTGTTTTTCAAAGAATGTTTTTTTTATAATCTAAATTAAATTCAAGCAGAAATCTTCCGAAAAGTACTCTTTTTTCCAAAAAATTTACATATTCCTATTTTAAGATCGGATATTTTAAAAATTACATTTTCATCTTATATTTTATTAAAGACAAATAATTCTATCTTAAAATTTGTAGTTTTGCAATATTATCTTTTTGCAATTATCAAAAGTACAGAAAGGTCCACGGAAATGGAAGTACTACGATGTTTTCACCGTTCTTTGATACCTACGAGGAGAAAATTTTAAGAAAATATTAGGAGAAAATAACAATTGCTTAGATTACATTCCAAATTCCGCGAAAAATGCTCATATTTTTAAAATATTGTACATGATAATTTCTAGATCTAATTAACAAAAAGATAATTCTTCGTCTTTATCTTCAATATTGTAAGTGTACGCCAAAACAATTTTGAACTTTTGTGATTTTCGAAGAATCAGTGACTTCAACGCAAACAAAATCTGCACCACTATTGTAAACGTTCTTTACGCAATTTAAAGACAGTTTAATAAAAAACATTGGAGCCACTTTTCAGAAAACGTTGAGGTTTATGTGAAGTACTTCTAAAAACCAAAATCTTTTCTGTTTCAAACAAGCAACACCTTGCGTTCCTTTAAATCGTTTAATATTAAATAATCGGTTAAAATTTTGGTGAAAATTGGCTAAACAGTTTTGGCGCTAGCATTAACCGCAGACGGAAATTAATCTATTTTCGGGTATCAAAGACCCACAACACGTGGATTCTGACTACAGAAAGTGTTAAAAGAAGTTTACTAAACATGGAAGCAACATTCTTGCACTTCCATTTTCTCGTTCTTACTTCGTTAGAAGAGAAAGTATTGTTATTGGACGCTAAGTTTCTAAAACCTTTCAGAGACTACTAGCGATTAGTTCATTTGAGTCATTATGAACTGCACAATTACAATATTTCTCCCAAAAGTGTTTTCGATTTAGGAAATGCTTTTATAAGACTTTACGTTTAGAAAATTTATTAAAGTTAGCTATGAGCTGTTGTTATGTGCCAAACACTATCACAATTAAATGCTGATGATTTAGTTATTACTAATTATTTTTATTGCCGCTAAATTAATTAATTTATCATTGCTGCTAAATTAAAAATTTGTTCATACTTTCCTTTTACTTATATCTTATCTAACACATCACTCCACTTCACTATATAAGGCACACAACCTCAGTAATTGACTTAAAAAATTAATATTATTATCTCAATTACGATATTAGTTATTATAGTAATAATAAAACAATTTTAACAAGAACAATAACTTGAAAAAGGATGGATCAGGAGCAGTAATATATTTCAACATCATCACAGATTCGTAATAGGATTTATATTTAAGAGTGTAGGTAAGTAAAAGTACGTTTTTTGAATATCAAATCGATTATCTGAAAATATTGGACAAGAACTGTTCTTTTCATCATTTCAGTGAAAAATGTGAATTCTTACGTTTTAAGAAATAGGTAGCTTTTTTCATTTATTTATTTATTTGTTTCAGAATATAAATATGCCTCCTAAACCTTCCCGACCAACTTAACCAGAATGCAGAGAAAGAAGACACATTAAGTGAAATTAAATAGTATATAATTTAGTAAATTTGTAAAAATTTGACAAGAAATTAAATAAAAATTGTGGCCGGCAGGAGGGAAAATTCTGCTGAAGAAAATCACAGCAATTGTTTTCCTAAACAAACCAGCACACTTACCAAGAAAAACAAATAAAACAATTGTCCAATACCACTACAACTATATTAATGACTTTTTAAAAAACGGTATAGGGTGACGAGGCTCAGAGCATCATCAACTGATGTCACTTTAGTGCCTCCGACAGGGATTTCCTTGTTTCCAGTCGAATTTTCGACACTAGCTTGTTAGCTAAGTCGAATGCAGTCGCTGTCTGGGGAAGAATTCTATTAATCAGGTCAATGTCAGGCGAATTCCGGAGAAGTATCCTTACAAACCAGACACACTACCATGTACTACATTACCACTCATTCCGGTCACTCATACCGGTCGGGAGCTGATATATTCTGAAGTGCGATGGTAATTTTGATTTTGTGGTAGCTCCCTTTACACTTAAGAACTATCTCATTTGTATGGAAGGTTATGAACGGGAGTGAAATGAATGATTACAATTAATGTATGAACATGTGTTGTACAGGGTTGTGAACACATGTTTATTACGTAATCAATAAAACTGATTTGTACATTAATAACATTGAGTGCAAATCTTAGCCTTGCTTAAATATTGGTACCAATAGTTCAAGATTAAATTTAGATACATAACCAATGTGCCGACTTAAAGGTTGTCGTTCCTTTGCCGTTGTTCGTTCCTTTGGCACCACAACCGTTGACGCAATTCCCCGTTGGCTTGATTTTTTCGTCACTTTCATCACAAAATAACACCTTTAAAGTATGCAAGTTTGTTGATTTTGACTCGTTTGAAAGTATCGCTGATTACGACAACCATTCTCTGGAGTTATGTTTTGCAAAGATGGCGAAAGCTCACGGGCTCTGCTTCGTTCGACATCCACCGGTTGACTAGCTTTCCGTTTTTCTTTTGTCCGGGAGCGCAGGAACTTTAGCAACGCCGCTCATCTTGTGCGCATGAGCGTTAGTCTTTCTATATTAAAATGAGCGTCTTTTGTAACAGGAGCTTCGAGCTTGTTCCGCCTGGGGCGGTGCCCCACTGGGGGGAGATGCCTGGTTGGAGAAAACCCCGCTAACCGGCAGTAGGTCTGCTCTGGGTCACACGGGGCAAAATCACCGCCACCTCCCGAACAACTTCCCTTACAACACTAATGACCTTGCCAGTTGACGCGCCAAGAATCACTAACAATCAATCATTGAAAAAGGGTCTTCACATAAAGGGTTAATATAGCACAGTACAGTATATATAGCTTCAACAGTTAAGGTGACCAGCTAAAAAAGAGCCTTCAGACTCATGGGCGACTTTTCTGAAGATCTATTGCAATGAACTGTTTTTCGTAATCTACAATCTCTGAAATATTGGTTTGATGAAGAACGAATTTATTCATTTTTTGAATACCCACAACCAGTTCTTGGAATCTCCTAATACGACCACGATACTCTCCGGAGTATCGAATTCTATTGTTTTTTACGGAGTGGATGCCGTGAAGAAAATGACAAATTGACTTGAGTCAATTCCTGTCATCGTGCTAAGGAGAAAATTCAAATAAATTCCCTCTTAAAAGTGTTTTACACATAAAGAATTCTTTTCTTTGAATTTATTTACTGTCCTAAACAGCGTATATGATTTCCTACTATTATTTTTCACTTTTGTGCAGGCCATTTTGTGTTCGTCGAAAGAACTTAAGTACTTTTTTAAATTATAGGGTAAAACATCGTCCACAAAAGTTTAATAATTTTATTAATTATTACCCAGAGTTAACTTTCAGGAAACACTTTTCCCATCCTCAGTGGGGTCTCTAGCAAGCAGGAGAAAATCGAAACATCAACATTAGTTGAGCAAAAAGAAATACAGTTAATTAAGTGAGAAAACCAAACACGTAATATCAAATCAATATAATTAAAAATACTCACCTGCCAAGCGACGTGGATCACTCATAAATGTTTCAAAGTGGTCGGAAAATATGAAAACTGCAAAACATGCTCTGGTACAGCTAGGTGGCAGTCATCGTTTGGAATGGCAGAAGAGGAAGCCTACGAATTGTGGGGGAGGAGGGAGAAACAGAAGTGTAGAAGGGGTAGTCATAACCAGATTTAAAATTGACTGCTTTTCACTCACAAATATAAAAAATGACAGAAAATTAGGAATTTGCAAGATTCTAGAACTTTAAATTATAAAGAGAACATATTTTAAACAAGTTGACAAGGTGAAGAGTATTTCAAAAAATGAAAAAGTTGATGTCAAAAGAATGATTGGGAGCTATTTAATAAACCTTAATTTTTTCCTATTTTGAAAATCTACATTTTCAAATATTTTTCTAATATTAATTTTTCCTTTTTATAGGTTAAACTAACGGCTTTACCTTTGTTTCCTGTCGCAAGTTAAAGTTAGTTTTAGAGTGAAAGTAGAGTCATTTAAATGAAGTTATCTACATAGTGTTTCAAAGTGTTTCAAAAGGACAAGCAGCAATTTTTAAATAAGGGAATCAAAATACAGGTTTACCTAATTTTCACTTGTTAGTTAAAAAAACTTACAAAAATTATTAATTTTGACGGTGATTTATTACTCCTTACCATATGAACCTATAAATGCTAACCAACCCCACAACAAAATCCACATGTGGGTTTGGGTGGCATATATTACCTTGATGTTTTGATGTCCACAGTAGTTTAATAGATAAATATTCAAGTTAAAAAATACTGATACCGTAGCTCAATAAATGTTTACTTACATAAAATCAAAAAAATAAGTAAATCAGAGTAGCATTAAAAATAAAAACTATCATCTGATGCCAACCAGCTATGCTCTCCAATATAATATCTAATTTTTAAACAATATTATGATAGTGTGGCTAAAGAGACAATAAGTAATAAAGTAGTGCCATTCTGTAACTGTGCAAACAACAATATCATCAAAACTCCAAACATAGAATGTATCTTTTAATTTTTGGGGCAATTTATTTAGAAATATTCAAGAACATTTCTAAATATCCTGAAATGTAGATCAAATTTGCATCCAATTTATTTTTCTAGTATATTACAATGAGCATATAAATATGATAATTATTCAATTTTTATTACACCTTTTAGTTTTTAAAATTTTCAAAAATTCAAACTTATCTAGAATTTCTTCTTTTTTATTGTTAAAACCAGATATCTTTTCTTAATAGAAAGAGTATTTTCCACTATTAGTATTTTATATGATTTTATGTATAGCTGTTTTTAAAAAATGTAGTTTTGGGGTTATTTCAAATAAAATAGTGTCAATTTCCCAAAAAAAGTTGTAATAACCTTCTTCTCAAATAAGAATATCTCACTTTTCATTTCTACCTTTTTGTACAGATAGTGATAATATAACTATGAAACCTACAGCAGGTGTATTGTTTAAAGTGAATTTCCAAAAATGTCACAAAAATATAGATGACCATCCATGTCAGGAGTAAATAGGGACGTTAAAAAAGAGTACCATGTATTTTAATATTCCGTGGTGGTAGCAGATATCTTGTGTTAATCCATAATATGCCAAAGGAAATAATCATCCACAAAAGGTTTAATAATTTTTATTAATTATTACCCAGACTTAACTTTGGAGAAAACTTTTCCATCCTCAGTGGTCTCTAGCAAGGAGGAGAATATTGACACATTAACTCAAGTTGAACAAAAGAAATACAGTGAATATAGTGGAAAAAACGACAAATAATATCAAATAAATAAAATTGATAATACTTACTGCCCAAGCAATATAAATATAATAATCATTAATAAAATTAAAGATATCAATGTACCCCCAATGCAAAAACTGAATAATTCCTTAGATTTCATTAACAAAATTAATGATATTTTATGTTCTCACCAATGCAAAATTAGTTTCCTTTGATGTGAAGAATTTATTTGCCAGCATTCCCCCTGATGAAGTCCAAGAAATTTATTCTTATCATATAATGAAATCAAATCTATCACACTTAGAAAAAGTAGATTTTATCACTCTACTTGACATATGTATAACACATAATTTTTTCACTTTCAACAACAAATTCTAGTATCAAACAGAAGGATTATGTATGGGCTCCAATGTTTTCCCTCTTTTTGCTGAACTTTTTGTGGATAATTTTGAGAAGAAACATATTTAGTTACTCTCTACCCATATTTAGTTACCCTCTACTTATAAACCCTCTCCTTAAAAACATTATTTATTTTTACAGGCATGTTGATGACATTACATGTCTTTGGTCAGGAAGTTCTAGGCAATTGAGCCAGTTCTTTGATTTTCTTAATTCTTTTTACTCCAAATTAAAATTCTCGATGGTAATTGAACAGAATCATTCCATGAATTTCTTTGATTACTATTATACACTCAAAAACAATTTAAAAATATTCAGAAAACCTACTCATACAGATACAATCATACCTTCACATTCTAATCACATTCACCATCATAAATTTGCTGTTTCCCACTCCTGGACCTACAGACTATTCCAGGTTCCTATGACCAATATAGATTTTAACAATGAAGTCAATACCAATCTATCCATTGAATTAAATAATGGTTATGGTCCTCTGGCAGTCAATAAGCATATCCACCAAAAATGGTGTAAAAATTATTTTAAATAAGGTTTTTACTCAACATTCCTCTGTAGAACCAAAGAAATTTATTTGTATCTCCTACATAGGTCCTCTATCTACACGTATAGGCCAATGTTTCACTAAATACAAAATCTCAGTAGCCTACAAAACTTTAAACTCCCTCCAATCTTTATTCCTTAATTCCAAATCACCTATCCTCTCCATTGAAAGAAATGGCATTTATCCCCTAACTTGTAATAACTGTACTTCAGCATATGTAGACCAAAAAGAAAATTTGTAGTTAGAATTAATGAGCACATTAGATGTTGGAAACAAAATTTAAACACTTTCACCTTTGCTAATCATGTGATTAAATTTAACCATTTCTTTGACCCTAATTATAATTTTTAAATCCTTCACTTTGTCAACAAAGTCACAAAAATTAACAATTTGGAGAACTTGGAAATTCTAAAACTTTCTAAAAGTTCTATTTTTTCTATCTTGAATGAACATTCCTTAACTAAAAGCAGTCCCATTTTAAATATTTAATTATCTAGCCCCTAATCATTCTTCTGACCAGATTTTTTTCCCTTTTGGCTATCTCATTTTCTCGTAAACTTGTTTAAAATTTGTTATTTATATAATTATAATTCTAGAATCTTACAAATTCCTAATTTTCTGTCATTTTTTACATCCCTGTATGACAAGCAGTCAATTTTAAATCTGTTTATGACTACCCGTTCTACTCTTCTGTCCCCCCACCCACCTCTCCCACAAATGGTAGGCTTCCTTTTCTTCCATTCCAACAGATGGCAGCCACCTACCTATAACCAGCATGTTTTGCAGTTTTTATATTTTTTGACCATGTGAACATTTATGAGTTATCCACGTTGCTTCGGCGGTATTTTAAATTTTATTTATTTGATATCATTTGTTGTTTTTTTTCTCTTCATTCACTGTATTTCTTTTTGCTCAACTTATGTTAATGTTTCAATTTTCTCCTCTTTGCTAGAGACCCACTGAGGATGGGAAAAGTGTTTTCTGAAAGTTAACTCTGAGTAATAATCAATAAGAATTATTAAACTTTTTGTGGACGATTATTTCCTTTACCATAGTTTTTTAATATTTTTTATCAAAGTTAATGGATAGTTAAAACACAAAACAAGTTTTAAAATACAGAATCGACTTCGAAAAAAATGTACGAGAAAATAAAATATAATTTGAAATATACATTTAGTCTTTCGATTTGCAATCTCAGTACTTATAAGTTTAAAAAATAAAAACACTAAAGTTAGTTAAATTAAATATATTTTTGAAATTATTTTTTCTAAAGTTCCTTTTTTTATGTCGAGATTGATTTTACATGTATTTTATTGTTATCTTATTCCCTGCCTACTTCAGCAGAACATATTGCTTTATACCATATAATTTGTGATTCATCAAAAGGATGTGTATTATCCATAATTACCAACACTTTAAACATGCACACGAGAACGAAATTCAATTGTTTTTTTTTATTTCTCAATAAAATTGTATTAATGAATATTTGAAATTATTATATTTTGTGGATATTTTTTTACTTAAATAACATATCTTCGGTTAGCATAAGCATTATAAGTGTTAATAGTGCACTACGTAAGATGTGATTTCGAGAATTAAATATTATCGATTGTGACAAATGACGTAACTTCCTTTCCCCTGCAAAGGTGTAGCGATAAGACTTCGCTCTCGGAATGGCTCCTGGCCGGAATGTTTATGACCAGATCTTGTGCATTCCATTTTCGACTTTTACTCGTGTAAAGTGATAGCGTGTAAACCGTTCAGGGACTCGCAAAAAAATACAGATTTACAGTCAAATGTGTTCAATTGTGTGCTGCAATTCTCAATAAGTGAGTTTTAAAACCTTCAAATCAATACTGTTTTTTCGAGAATTCTTTTTCGTTTAAACAAGTGTGGTGGTCAACATATACTTTCTACGCAGACTTCAGGAGAGGTTCTACATGCGTTACCCTAGTACAACATCGTAGGTGAGTTTTAAGGTCATTAACAGTGAATTACGTGAAGAAAAATGGCTGAAATATAGTATACGGTACAACCTAAGGAAGTCATATAAACCGGCACTTCGCGCCGTTCTGGCGTTAACTAGGCAGTTAGAATTCTGGAGGCTTTTTTGAAATGTGATGTCTTGTAAAAGTGAATTGGTAATTATGCGTTGCATAGACTGAAGAACGTTTATAGTGAACGCGAGGGCTGAAGGCCCGAGCCTTGCAGTGACTTGGATCCGGGCGAGCGAAACGAGAAAACTTGCCTTTGGAAGTAAATTGGCGTTACAATGCGGCGGGGACAAAGCATATGAAGGGTGAACCATGAAAATCGCATATCCGTAAGTTTTATTAATTTCTTAGAGCACGTACAGTAATTAGGGCTCCGCCGCCATGCTTATCTAAGCGTGTACCATATACTAAACTTTACTCAGAAAAATATTGAAGCTTAAACGGTGCGAGTAGCTCAGTTCTGCGATATTTTCGTATTTTTAAGCAAATACCATTAGTTGGACTTAGATTCAGTATGAAGTATTCGCTAAGAAGAAGGATTGCGCGCAATATTTGTTGAGCAAATGTGTTTTTTAAGATAATATTGTAAATAAAAGTAGGGTTAACGCAATTATAGGTTAGTTTTTGGTATTGGGAAGTAAACTTTAAATATATTTTGGCTTCAAATGAGTGTAATTGTAAGTATCATTAGTAAAATAGCATTTTGTGATATCTGTATTGCAATAGTGGGAAAGTTTTATTGAATACTTTTTTTAGTGTAGTAATACTTTCCATTTTTGTTCTTGTTAGGTTAATTTGTGTCGTAAAATTGGAGTAAGTTTTCGAATGTGACTCAATAAATATATTATTATTATTATATTTTATTATTTTTATTTTTATTATTTTATTAATTTTATTATTTTTATTATTTTTTATTGTTTTTATTATTTATTATTTTTACTTATTCTTAATATTTTTATTTTTATTATTTTTATTATTTTATTTATTTTTATTATTTTATTTTTTATTAATTTTTATTATTTTTATTATGTTTTATTATTTTTATTATTTTTTATATTTTTACTTATTTTATCTATTTTTTATTATTTTTATATTTCTTTTATTTTTTATTATTTTTATTAATTTAATTATTAATTAAATTTATTTTTTTATTATTTTTATTTTTTTATTATTTCTTATTATTTTATTTTATTTTTTATTATTTTTTATTATTTTTTATTTTTTATTATTTTTATTATTTATTATTTTTATTATTTTTATTATTTTTATTATTTATTATTTTATATTTTATTATATATATTATTATTATTATATTACTTATTATCATTATTATTATTATTAATTATAAACGACAGTCATTGAAGATGTTAGTGCTGTGGAAGACATCACAGTAATTCCAAAGAGCTATTATTTTGAAATGTCAGAACGAGCATAAACCTTTGTGTATTTCTCATTATGGCTTTCGAAGTAATTCTCTTTCAACTGGAGAGAAAATTGGCGGCGTCGTCTATGCATTCTTTCCAACGATCAGGTGACATCCCATCCACCGACAATCAAACACTTTACACACGACAACAGCAAACCACACGACGAACGACAACTGAAATGAAAAAAACTGTTATCCTACAGTACTGACCGTCAGAATACCACAATGCATTGCAAAATTGTTGCAACGCGCGCATTTTCACGACTGCTCCCGAATCATGGGATCCGGATTAACTTCAAAGACTCAAAACGTTGGTGAATTCCACAGGGATTCAAGTCGGCCTTGACTCCGCGGATTAGGATCACGAAACTCGGATCAACTACGAATTTGATCCTGGTTGGTGCAACCAGCCCATAGTGTAGTTGGTGAATATTAAGACCATCAAAAGTTAAGCTTGAACTCCCAGAAAGAGGAAGTAATTTTTTTTTCGAAAGAAGTGTTATCAAAATCTGAAATGCTGATCTTGTAAATTTCTGGAGTTAATAAAAGATTAGATTTGGAAAGAACTTGAGCCTTACTATTTGCATATTCTCAACACGTATCACGATGCCATGGGTTGGGGAAATTAAAGTGAAGAGCGAAGGGGAATCAAAGAGAAAGATATTTCCGCATTTGAATGTGCAGGGTTAAACGTACATGGTACAGGATGTGTAAATGTTTTTTGATTTCCGCGCACTTCGGCAAAGTGTGTATTAATGGAGAAAGATTTATTTCTACAAAATATTGCGTGATAAGTAAGTTTGGGAATAACCATGTACTTTGTTTGGGTGTGCAGATGTGGTAGAGGCATTAATTTAGAAAACATATTTTCAACCACTTTCAAAAGCAATTACTCTAGCTTCAATCATTGATATGTGGATAACGTGATTCAATCCATTGTTAAATTTCAAGATTGCTTTTTCTATTATTTACAAACAAGCTGTTCGCCTTAGCATATTACATAAAATGCTTTGGAAGACTTGTTACCTAGTCTAAATAGTCTAGGGCTTAACGTCGATTGTGGTAGGGAAGTGCCACAAGGGCGCCTTTAAAGCCGCCATTTTTCTGCCAAGTTCGACGCAAGAGATAAGGGCTTCAACTAATGATACAATTTCTCAGTACATCAAACAATATTTTTTGTGATACTATCCCATTAAATATAGATTTACTTTTCAAAGAGTGGAAAGAAAATTACTACAGAATATGTAATGGCACATGGCCAATATCGCATATTACGGTAATTTCTTGATATTTGCCCCTCCCACTTAAAATCAATTAATTTATCCAGATGATAAAAACTAATATCCAGTTAATTATAAATTCCTTTTTTTCTACACATAGGTATCGAATCTCCAGTCAGGTGCTACTCAACCTCCGTGGGACCTAGGTTCGTAGCAAACGATGCCTCCGGCGGCGGCCGTACAGGGCCGCGCTCCCGCCGCGCTCTCACTCTCAATTAAAACCGGGGAAAAAGCTGGAGGGGTAAACTATGGTACTTCATTTGATGGTTATTTGCATATTACATTCTGAGCGATGTCACCAACATTTCTCAGAAATATTAGAATACTATCGATTTGGCATGCCAAACATTGTGTTGCCCGTTTCATATAATATAGTTTTAAGTCTGAATGTGCATGTAAAATTCATAAATTTGAAGTTTTCTGGAAACTGTGATTTTACTGTTAAATTATTTGTTTTTAAATGATTTTCAGACGATTCAGTACACAGGTATGCAATCAAAAAGCTATTTCATATGTTTACCTAATTCGTGTGTGTGGATGCGCTTAATTTGCGTCCATTCTTCCCTGGTACGTCAGGTTTTTCTCAAATAAAATATAACTAGATCAACGGGTAAATGGAAATCGCTTACTTTCAAATTTATGAGACTTTCGGGAAAACTGATCATGGAAAACACATTTATTTTTCCCAAAACATGAAAATAGTTGTATTTGCTATGAACTGCGCGGACTTGTTCATGCAGGCATTTATTTGTTCTGATTCCTCCACAACGTTGTTTCGTTTCAGTCGTTATCCATCTATTGTCTGTGAGCTTGAAAAGTTGTGTTGATTAAGAAAGTGTTAACTGTTTGTTTAATAGTTAATTTCACTTGTGGAGAATTCATGGAGAAAAGCGTCCGTTCAATATTACAGGTTTTGCTCAGAAAGTTTAAGTTGTTACCGAAACCAAAAATTGGTTGGTATGGATTTCATAGTATTGTGTGTGGTGCTAGAACAACAGACTGGGTACACACAGTATCCTTGTTTTCTATATTTATAGGATAGTAGTGACCAATTAAATCACTGGAAGCAAAAACATTGGCCAGCAAGAAGTCTAGTTGTCGGTGAAATGCGTGTCCTATTTCCCAATGTATGTCCAAAAATATTGGTACCGTCTGAGAAGCTTTTTTTTTAAATTGCTGCATATAAAATTATAAAAAATGAACAATTTATTAAAGCACTTTCAAAGTACAGCAAATGCATCAAGTATGTGCTGTTGGAGCACCACTACTTAGGAACAAACAAGTGTACTATACCTCTAGGCATGTTACTTATAGGCAATTGAAAACCATTACGAATGTCATTACTCGGGGGCGGATTTTCATATCATACAACATTGCCTTATATGTTATCTAAAAATTCCCCTAAAATGTTTTTAAAATGCTCTAAGAACATAGAAAAATTTTAAAAAAATATTAAAACTACATTAGATGGACACCTCAACATGGACACATTACTGACGAAATCGAGGTTTCATCTATTCGTTAAAGTGCACTCAGCTTGCAAACTTTTAGTTTGGAATGTTTTTTACCAGCAAATTTCAGTCTTTAGTTATCCCGAAATCCGCCGAACCGACAACGGCGCTGATAGGCGTCTCAGGAACCTAAGATTACATACAACGGCTGACACTACAATTTCTAAGCGAAGAAATCGAATAGGTTATGCAGGAGTTATGTGGAGATCATTTGTTGTATCTTGAAAATATTATTTAAGGCAAGTGTCATGTGAATGATAATAAAATCAATGAAAACAGAAATAATGCTTTTAAATGAGGGAAAAGGTAAAAAATGGCGTATTACATGAAAGCGACATAAAATGCGAAAGTGACATAAAATGGGTCATTTCCTTTTGCCAAAACGTAAAATAATTTCTATACTAAACTGCATTGTTCTAAAGTGAAAAACTCACATTTCTTTAAAATCATTCCTCTAGTCATTACACATACGTTATAAATTATACTATGTATGTATACGAGTATTTAACCTATCCGTGACGGTTCAAGACTGTCTTGTTTTTTATTGAAATTTTTGCTCCCATAAAACAATGAACGTAGCCGCCAGTGATGTGTGATGGGTTAAACTTCACTTTAATCATACGTTAGTCTGGAAGCTTAGGGCTCTGTCAGATCTTCAATTAGAGATAGAGATGCAAATCATTGGCTTCTAAGACTGGACCAAAATCCGGATATTTCATCTGCTCCAGAAATGTTTTGGTTTCGGTGGCGTTGCGA